AATTGTGAATAGAACTTCATGCTGATATAAACTATAATAAATAAGTATATTACAACAGGTTACAGTGTCACTTTTATAAACACAGATTACTCATGTGTGAAATAACTTAAAATTGTGAATAGAACTTCATGCTGATATAAACCATAATGAACAAGTATATTACAACAGGTTACAGTGTCACTAATATACTTGAGATAATAATACTTTAGTATGTTGTTAATTGACTTGCATTAGAATAACAAAAACAACTTAAATATATGTTTAAGAGGATGTTTGTAATGTTTTTGGTACTACCTTTACGTAACCAATATCGAACAACATCAAAACTTTATCAAATTTGTGTTAACCTAAGTTGATAAATCTGCATACTGAGAGATATCCAGTGCTTGAAATAGAAATAAAAAGATGGAATAGGCAAAATAACAATTAGTCCAAATGCAACGTTTAGCTCAGGTTTATTTGAAATTATCTGGCAATACGTTGTATAGTCAAAATAAAGATTTTAACACACTATTAATATTCTTATATGGAATTGAGGAAAAACAAGACAACTGTACTTTTCACAAATACATCATTTATTATGACCATGGTTTCGCCAGTAAAGGCATCATCAGATAATATTAGAAAATTATCATCACTAACGCACAATTATTAACTTTTGTTTCCAAGCTGCTTTTCTAAAGTAAACTTATATAATTATATAATCTAGATAAGTATGTTTCTGTAATCTAATTAAGTAAAAGTATTAATATTGTCACTAATGAAATTATTCTAATCGTAAATTTAATGACAATATGCTAAATACACTTGATATAAAACATCAGGTGAATGGCAATTTAACTAATTGTGGTAATTAACTATCCAGATTAAATAAACATTTCAGTATAGCGGTAAGTAGAATAAATGTAATCTGTTGTGTAATGAAATAACTAAGAGTTGGAATATGGAGTAGGGAAGATAGTCTAGTCTGACATACAACTACAATAAATGGAATTGGAAAGAAAAAAAAACTTTTGTGGTGTAATAGTGTAGATAATTCACAAGAGATGGCAGGGCAGGCAATTTGTGAATAAAAAGATAATTATTTTAAGCGCAAAGCTGAACAATAGGCTGTTTTGACGTCCCAACACAGTGATAGTATTCTAAATTTTAGTGTTATTATCTCTCAGAGTTACTGCCGAGCCACCGAAGTCATCTTAAAAGAAATAGTTTATTTTTCGATACGCGTTAAGTGATATGTGTAATTTAAGAATGAAATACTTTGACTTCATTCTCATAAATGTATGGTTTCCAACATCGCCGGCCTTATTGAAGTCAAAAATGAAATAAAATAATCGACAACTAAGCATATTTCGTTTGTAGCAAATTTGAATTTTTGGATCAAAAAAACTGAAAACAGGAGCTGTAAATAATGTCAGCAAAAACATTTGCAAGTAATTAAAGGATATAAAAACCATTTAAAAGATGAAAACAAAGATTGGTTGAATGAGTGTCAGAAACGATCCCGCATGGTAAGGACTGAAAATTAATTTAAATGTGACAGTTATCGAAGTTTAATGTATTATTTGCCTTAATTACGAATTTTCTATTCATGTTGATATTTATATTTAACTCGGGAATGACTTTCCAGTTTTATTTACTTTTATAACTTAAAACACGCCTTTATTTTGCTGTACAAGTTTTCAGATTTTTATGGGTTACACAGTTATACCTCTGAATTTAAAAAAAAAATCCCGACTTCATTGAATACTGTGGGGTTTTTTGTTTGTTTGTAATTAAGCACAGAGCTACACAATGAGCTATCTGTGCCCTGGTCACCACGGGTATCGAAACCCGGATTCTAGCGTTATAAGTTCGCATGGGGGGGATTTGTTTCGTATATTTATGCTAGCCATCCCTGATTTTACAATGAAAGACGAGAGGTAATGTAGTTAGTCAACAGCAACCAACATTTCTTAGGCTACTCTAATTTAATAGTGTGATTTGACCATCACTCTTATAACACACCTTTGGCCTCAGAGTACAAAGCATAATTTTATTTTTCAAACACATAAAACAAACAATGTACCGTCAAATCTACAACTCGGCTTTCTAGCCTGTGAGCCACGCCCGACCCTTGCTTTTAAGAAACACAATGTAGTGATGTTGCTATGCTCATCTATTTGTCCAGATGAAGCAGGCAAGACGTGTGGTGGGAGAGGAGTATACAAGGTGGAGCGAAAATTACTATACATTTATTTTATTTAGAACAAAGCCTAATTTCTAACTCTGAAACAAACAGAGATTAAATTGGTTTAATTTGTTTTCGTAATAATTTCTTTGGAACCTGCCACATAGCAACTTTTCTCCCACATACTATAACATTCTGTGAACCGAGCAATTGGACGTTTTCTGTTGAACTTCGAGATCATTATTGGGCTAGCAAAACTGAGGAAAATACGGTTTAGTTTTGAAACATTATGGGACATATCATGAAATGTTTTCTTGCAGTGACATACATCCTGTTACGCGGGTAAGAGTCGAATACTTTGAAAAAATAAATCTTATTTTTCAATAACTTCATAAGCTTAAAAATGCAACAGTGAAACTCTACAGTTAAAGGTTGCTGGTAAGTAACTCGACTTAGCGTTCATCTGTTGTTGTTTTTTTTCACTTAATTACCAATTTGTAGTTTCAATTGTTAACTTCTTTAAATTGTTGATGTAAAATAACAGTATTTTCTGGCTACGAGTCGAGACTGCTTAGAAGTGTGATTTATACAATATTTTGACTTGTGTTCTCTTTTGAAGCTCTGCAACTTTATTACAATGACATTAAAGTTGATCTTCTCTAGACATCACCCTTAACAAAGAACGTTGAATTGAAAAATAAAATGCTCAAATAATTAAATTTTAACTCAAAACTACGAGTTAAAAGACAAACTTGGTAATTTGCTTTACATCCATGTGACGGCTTAGTTAGAGATACACATAATTTTATCTTAATTTTGGGTTATATGAAATAGCCGTCCCTTATTTCAAGACGTTAAATTAAAGGGAATGAAAATTAGTCAACAGTACTTTCCGCCAACTCTTGTCTCACCGATTAGTGTGATGCAAGTTACTCTTACAGGGAACACACATGGCCATAAAGTGCAGAGCGCGTGTTTGCAGCAACGGGCTAGGAAGTCAACCGTCACACTTACAGTTCTAGCCCACGAACTAAAGTTTATGAACACACTTTTAAAATGATATATTACAATCACTTCCTTTCCATACTCGACCTATCTCTACTTCGAATGTTCTGTGTGCATTACCTTTTTTTATTTTTTTTTCATTGACTGAACAGCAATTATGATCCTATACAAGTACAACAATCTCCAGCTGATATCAAGAGGGGCACTCAACCGAGCAAATTTCAAAAACAATTATATATTGAAACAATTTTCATTCCTCAGAGTTTTCCATAGATGTTATATTGTGTGTGTCAAGGACAGCACAAGCATGGAACAATGCTAGTTTAGTGACTGGCCTTACATCACTTCTCAACCCTCTTCAATGGAATTAATAGGTTAAAAATATCTATCTATAAATAATGTTATACGTGAATAACAAACAAAATAAGCTACCTTTACAAGTCTATCAATAATATTAAAAACCTCAAAAATTCACAAGTAAAATGTAAATTTTGCTTGCACAAATTTAAAGTTACAAGTTTTTTTTGTCTACGGAGTTCTTTGTCAACACCATTTTTAAATGACTTAAGTTTGATGAGAAAATGTCTGTCTGTCTGTAATAAACGAAGGGTAGAACTTTACTTATTCCTTTGTCTTCTCTTTACTTTCAGTTTGCCAGATCAAAAGTCAGTTGTTTTTTTACAGAAATATAAACTTTCTACCTACAAACAATAACTTGACTTTGTAAAACCCACACAATTACTTTTTCTCACATTCCTGAAGATGTTATAGATAACCTGGATCTAATTCTGCACCTAAAAGACCAAAATCGCCTAAGTTAAAAAAAAAAAAATAGCCCAGAAATTAATGTAACTAACTTAACATACCGTTTAATATCTAAACATGTATAATGTCATGAAATAAAAATCTTTATACCCTCTCTTTACAGTTTCCCCAAGCTTAAAATCGTTTATTAGCCACCCAACTCTGGTTGCTGTTAAAATTGTCATAGTAACCAACTCACCAAAGTAAAATATACTTACTCTTACTTTAAGGTTAATCTTGTTTTATTTGTAAAAATCTGGAAATGGTGATTTCATATCAAGATTAGACAGCCTACCAAAAAGAAACTTTTAGTCATGGAATTAAACAGTTTTACCTACTTTTTAAGTTTTGTCTCCTAAAGAAGCAAAAAAAAACTGTTTAAGAATAAATTTAAATGCCTCTTTTAACTTAAGATTTCTTTAACGTCATTTTATTTTTTCTACAAAGCATCCTCTTAACATTTAATAACACACAGTTTTGTAAAGATGTTGACAGTTGTCATTTTGAAAAGTTTTACAATATTTCCCCGATTTTTTATAATTTCATACATCTTCATAATTTATTTGATTATTTTCTATACAAGTGGAATAATATATTCTTATACATTCTCCCATTTGATTTTGTTTTTATATGTGGGTTTAACTTTACACATAGTTTAGTCTGTCTTTTTTTACATTTCAATCAGTTTTTTGGTTGGATAAAAAATAATCAAGACTACCAAAACTGGTACAATTTCATCCACAAAATTACATCAGTGATATTTCACCAATAAAAAGCTGACTTAAACGAACGAATGAAAAAGCACACCAAACAAATCGTAAACTGGTCTCATGCAAGACCAGTAAAAGCAAAGACATTTATATTATTTTCATTTTCTATTCTATATTCATATATTTCATAGTGTAATGAGGTTTATTTTAAAAAATAATTTATAATTAAGTGACCAGTAATCACTCGATGTCTTTAAATTTTAAAATTATATTTGACTGAAACTTTTATTAGAAATAATCAACCACACAAGTTTTCCAGTTAAACAAATCTTTATTTTCTTCTTTCAGATAGTTTATTCCTAAAAGGAAAGAAAAAAACTATTAGAATAAGTAGCAAAGATCACAAATACTGATAAAAAAAATTAACTAAAAGAAGTTTAATACAAAAATTGGAAAAATAATTAAAATTACCAAATTAAACATGTACATGAACTTGTAAACTAGATGTACTTCTGCAAAGTTCCTGAAAGTGTTCTGTTTAAAGAATAAATAAAACCAAAATTAAGAGTAACAAATGTTTATTTCTTGCTTTTGAAGTTCACATCTCATGCTATGTTGTAGCCTACAGAGTGCATAATTCTTCTCATGACTCATGGTATGAACGTTTCCATGACATCACGAGAGTACAAACTGCAACACTAAGCATCCCTTATGTGAGTGCTTTCCAAAGTGGGTGCCACACTGTGCCCTGAGGGGTGTCACCATATTTTTGGAAATTGCACAAAATGCTTTTTAAGGCCAATGGTCATTTACAAATTGGACTCACTGACTAATAATTTTAGTTTTAGACTACATGTTGGATCATTCGATGATAAATTTCCTTAAGAAATAAGTGAAGGTGATTAATATTAATTATTAAACTGGTTGTCCCTTAACATTGCTAAAATATACAAGCATTGTATAGGTATCCTTGTACCTCAGGGTATTGGTTTAGAGGAGGACTGTTTCGTTCTGTACTGTATGTGCCAAAATAATATGGCTTCTTTTTCTTACTTCTTTAGTAGTATTTAGTAAGTAGGTTGAATAATATTGTTGCTGTTGTTGTGTGTGTGTATATATATATATATTTTCAAAACTATTTAAACCTACATACAATAAATTCTTTACACTATAGAGATTACATGCATGCCATAAACACTATGTAGTTCTCTTCTTTTTGTCAAAAGTCCACTTAGGCCTATTCAATTGCTTTAAAATTTCAGTTGACCAGCCGAACTCTATTACTATCACCAAACTATCCTCGTATAGTTCACTTACTTTGTCATCGAGTTACCACGATTGTATCCTATACTTCTAAAATCATCTGCTCTTTTTTTCTCTTTGCATTTCTCAGAATTGCCTGTCTGTTTGTCAGTCCACTGAGGCTTGTTCAGTTACAATAGAACTCTCTTTGACGAAACAAACTATTTTTCTTAAATCTTTCAACACCATTAGTCTCACTAATATATAAACTGTTAGGCCTTCCACTCCTACGACGATTAACTTTGTCTTTAACTTTTCTTTGGCCAAATTCCTTCTTGTAACTTTACTTCTCGTATGCTCTGTCTGTCTGTCTACTTTTCCTGCTCATCTCATACTACTTATATGTTTATTACTTAATCATCTGCTCGCTATATCCTCCACATCAATGAGTTATAAACACAACGTACAACTCTTACCAATTTAAGTAACTAAACTTGTCATAACATTTACTTTAAAATAACTGCTTCCAACTCTTGTTATGAACAAAACTAAACAATCATAAAATATTCCCTCACAAAATAAATTAATCAATAACATCTGATCTAAACAGTCATTTATATCATGACAGTACGTACATATATATTCCTGTGTCTCTGTAAACTACTTGTGCCTGATGATGACAGAAGCTTGTAAGAAATGTACATTTATAGTAGTTTCTTTCACTACCAATTTAAGCAGTCTCCAAACTTTATTTTTTTAAAAAGTGGGTTACTTGTTTTTAAATCAAATCCAGAAACTTCTAGTAGTAAACATTATTTTCTTTAAGTACAATAAAATAATAATAATAATTAAATTACTTTTCTCACATCAGCCTGATACAACAGAAATTATTTCTTGGTCAATAAACTTATCAACATGAGATAAATATTTGGTTTTAGAGAACATTACAAGGCCTGGAAAGTATATACAATTTAAAGGTTGTTTAACTGGGTTGTGGCACCTGTGTGTGTGTGTGTGTGTGTGTGTGTGTGTGTGTGTGTGTGTGTGTGTGTGTGTGTGTGTGTAGTAGTAAGTAATATAGTAATAACTAGTAGTGTTGTT